GATTAATTGGAAATTAGAAAGCTATAATTGACAGATGGGTGGTTTAATGTGCCTGCAATAAGTATTAATTAACAGGGTCACCAAACACAACGCATATGCACTCAAAAAGTTAGGATAGAAGTTTGGGAGGGAAACGTGAACATTTTGCTTCTATACCATGTGTTGAAGAAAGGGTTAAAGCCTGAGCATGTGAGGCTGCAGTTTCCAAGGTTACAGACGACTGCAGCAACTATCCTGACGCCCACATCTGTGCCATGACACAGCAACAATGCAACGCTGGGACCATAGCGAAGGCAGAAAGATGGAGGGAAAGAAACGTGTAAAATGATGAGACGACAGGCTAAAGACAGGAGGACAGACAGAATCCCACAGGGATTAAACAGAATTATTCACAAGCTCTGCGTATTTCTCTCACCACCAAAACTGAGATGGTGCTTTCTAGACGACCAATCCAGCCAGATCAGGCCACGTCTAATGCAGTGACGTGTGAAATGTACAGTCTGAACCGTGGACCACATGTAGAAAACCTCCAGGGACGCTCGCTGAAGCAAAGCCTTATGCTATGAGACATTATCCTGAAGCAGAAGGTCACACCAGGCAGAGGGTTGGGGTAAGTCTCTCTGAGGATGAAAGTCGTGATATTTGAAGAAGAATTTTGTTTAGCTATGGTAATAAATTACATCATCAACTTGTCAGACTCCTACTGCGGTACAGCACAGTTTGAACACTGCAACCATTTTAAACACGTTTCAGCGTTGGGACTGGAATCAGGGGAAGTATTTTTGGAAAGAAGGCCAAGCACCACACTGATCTCATCACTTTTTATGCAACACAGCTGCGGTTTGCATGAAGTGGAGGTGTGCAGACTTAACAGCAGCTGTAGCATGTTGTGGACTTAAAATTTCTGAGTTACAACACAATACTGAGCACATGTGATGATCTTGTTGAATCATCACAACAGCGTGAATCCTTCATGCGTTTTTCTTATTTTTATTTTCTTATTTCTTTAATTTAACCAGGTGAAACCCCAATAAGATCCAGATTTCATTTTCTATGTTAACTGTTTGCAACTTTAGATGTTGAAAATTTATAGCAACGTTCTGACATCAAACAAGACAAAGTGATACGTTGTAGCATCTGACTGTGTGAGGAGAACAAGGAATCATCAGATAAGCACAATCAAGATTCTGTGTTTACCATTTTACCTAGTTCAACTCTTTATGCATAATTTAGAAAAAGTGTAAAAATGTACAAACTTTCCCCATGTATCCAGGCTCTGTCTCAGCTTAAAGCCTTACTTCTCTCAATATGAAACCTAGAAACGAAGGAGCTTTTGGGAACAACCATCCAAACAACAACAAACATCAAAACACACACTTGAAAGCTAAAAAAAAAAAAAAACCTAACACACACAGGGAGAGTTCCCTGGTTGCATGTCAAGAAACTTCAGGCGAATGCGTAACAGACAGACATGCATCAGCCTGCAGTGCACAGAACGCCCTGGTCTTCTCCAGTGTTATGGACATCTTGCATCAGTCTAAATGAAAATGCTACACAGCCCCCACATTTTAGGGAGTGTTGAAATGGCTTCCTTTGTGTGATACAAGAAATGTACAAACTTTTACATTTTTCAAAGACCAGAAGATAGCAGCAGCAGCGTGTGAGACACAAGTTGGCAAACAACATTGGCATTCAAGAACTTTCTTTAACACTTTAGACGAAATACCACTGTCAGACATTTTTTTTTCCCATCAAACACACATGACCAGATTTACACAAGTGTCATGAAACCAGAACTCTGGAACCACATACACCTGACAGTCTGGAAAACTCAGGTCTGTTTGCGAACAAAGTTGCAACATTGTTACATTTTCAGCTATTGTTCTCATTCCCACTTAACTGAGTCAAAAGATTCAAACCCTTTGCAGTAAGAACCACTGAACGGAGCAACACAAAAACCTCTATAAGACGACACTGGGTGCAACTTCCTCCTTTATGAAATGAAATGGTTTTTAGTAAAAGACCACAAGCCTTTTCTCACTCTAGTGCTACAATAGTGTGTTTGGGTTGTATTTACCCAGAATGCCCTGCACTCTTGTCCACTTTTGAAGCGGACTCCGATCCAGTTGGCCGCCACTTATGCATTTGAACCATATCAGAGTTCACTACAACCGAACCCAGGCTGAGGTTTATCACACCTCCCCAAACTAACCAGACTATCTAGGAAAAGGGACTAGAGTTCGATTAAAGTGAACTAACATCCATGATACTGTAGAGCTGTGGGTCTGCTGGGCTGGTGGATTAGACTGAATTTAGACGGATCTGGGAAAGAACGCATGTTCTCTGGCTTTGATTACAGAAGCTTTAAATCTCTCTTACTCACACAGGCTACTCACCAAAACTCATGTAAGGACAGACAAATGAGACAAACTGAAACAGATACACAGGCACTCTCTGGAGACCACAGCGAGGAGAAACTACAGTACAGGCCTCCAGACAGGACATTTTTACTGAAAAATGGTGGGCTGTTGCCAAAGGACAGATTCTGTTGCTAAAAATATCAACACAGAGAGCAAACAGCAAGGCCAGCTGGCTCTGACATAATTCAAGAAACTGCAGCAAAAAGACCTTCAAGCAGAACAATAACATTAGTAGTTAACAAGCTAGGTTTCTTGTTAACCTGATAAATATGAACTTTATATTCAGGTATTTATTCCTTTAGACCTGGACATCGTTCTCACCCAGGTCAGACTGGGATGTGTCTGACCTGGGACACAGGTCAGAGACCTTCTGACCAGTGAATTCTGGGTCTTTCCTGGGTGTCTATCTGGTGAGATATGACTGGAAAACATCCAAAGGGAATCAGTGGTGAGGCATTCGAATTAGATGCTCAAACCACCTCAACTTGACCCCTCACGTATAGCCAGAGGAAACTCATTTCAGTCACTTTTACCCTGGGTGTCTTGGCCGCTATCCACACGCCATCATAACAGAAAAGGGTTGGAACATCCACAGGCGAAGAACATCTTCTTCATTCCTAAAGACCAAAGCAAATTCCCCATTGCAGACGAGACCCCAATCTGTCAAGACGGGAGAAACAAATAAAAGGCTCCACAGACAAAAACCTGTCTGTCTATCCATCGATCTGTCTGCTACACGTCTAGTACAAATCATCAAAAAAGAAGATAATTGGGATCATTAAACATCTTTTTTGCAAAACGCCACAACCGAGTTCCTAAAATGAGAGAAAAACCTTTCATTGTGAGGTCAACCCATTAACAGATTTTCACCGGAGCCACTGCAAAGGTGTTTCTCTGAGCGTCGCCTGTTGAGTGGCTGATTTTCCGAGCTGTCTGCACGTTGGCCTCTCGAGGCTCCATGACACACGATCTAAAGGGGCTCTCTGCTGCTCTGCCTACTCTAACAAATGCATTTTACATTAGGTTGAAGTGGAAGCTTTTGTTCCTAACATACTTTTATTATTCAGTTGGTGCCGTGCTGGTAGTTTGTACCACATAAATTCATTCTTGTAAGCTGGAAAGCTACATGAGTTCATTCTTTCATTTGCATTAAAACAAAGGATGGGAGGTTAAGTTTTGTATAAGCAACATTTGAAATGTTAAAAAATTTTATCCATAAATTGTTAAAATATCTGTCCAATGAGTGAGGCAGCTTAGTCCAAAACTATTATTTTTCAGGAATGGTTAAGTCAAAGTCCAGGAAATGGCTAGCAGGAAACTCAGAACTCCAGTCATCAACAACCACTTTGTTAAAATAATAGGTTGCTAAATTATGAAGTGGAGCCACAAAGAGTTCGCTCTTTTATTATAAATGAATGTATTTGGCTCTGTGAGCGTCACAGACACAAATGCAAATCCAGCCTGGTGAGTTAAACTGAAGCTGCTGCGTCAACATGCGGCCTGATAAAACAAATTATTAAAAAACAACCAGACTGGAAGAATAACAAAAACAGTCATGATGACTTGTTAGTTTCTGTTGGGGAATATTAAAACTCCCTTTTCTGACAGTTATTGTTTTATAACCTAGTTGCATTTATTCAATAACATTTACTTGACATTTTTAAAAAACAATATTTTTGCTATATTGTACTTTTTAATTCTACTTTAGTAATTTGATCAGGAAGTATCTCTACTCTTACTTAATTATAACAACTAAGTGATTTGGAAGAACTGAACCTATCACTGTGTCCAGTGATAGATTCAGTCACTGGCTACATATTTAAGTATTTTTTATTCCTCCACCGACTCTTTGCATGCGACGTCACTGTCTTTGAAACTCGACCTGCTCCGCCATGACGGAGGTCAAAACAACCTATCCGTGCCCCTAAAATCTGTGAAAAAAATGCACATGGTGTCGCTTTAATCAAGTTGATTTCGCAGTGAAAATGGTCACAGGGTGCTGCACAAACAGACAAGGATGCAAACCAAACATCAGTTTATTGTGTAACTTGCAGCCTGGTTACAACAGAAACTTTTAATGAGGAAAGATTAACGGCTGCAGCAGCGTTAATCATAATCACCGCCATCCCTGCAGATATGCAGCGAACACTATTTACAAGATAAGAAGATGTTGTATTATCTTGCCGTCTTACTGTTGTGTTCAAGTATTCAACTCAGAAAGAAACTTATCTTGATTGTCTTTCAGCTGTCTTTGTCCTCGCCGAAAAATCACTGCAAACACTGTGATATTCAGCTCACCGCTGAATCTTGAGTCGAAACCAGAAACTGCTGCTGCGCAAGTGACGCAACGGGCTGTTGCTAGGTAACCAAAGAATGAGTGAGTTGCTAGGTAACAATAACTGAATACCAGCAGGTTTATGTTAGGCAAAGAACGGCACAGACCTTCATCTCTGCAGAAACCCTCAGCCTCAGATGCAACAAATCCACTTTCATATCCAGTGAGCCGACACTGGCCAGAAAGACAGTCGGAAATGGTGGCTTCCAAGGCATCAGCTGGGTTTCCCCTTTTTCTCTTTCCAGGCACCATTTGACCATTGGTCCTGCCACCCTGCCGTGCCAGTCCATTGTCCTCAAGAGCCGCTGTCTCCCAAGTGCGGATTTCAGCATTGGTGATGTATTACCAGCTGAACTGTCTCCAGTGGCCATCAGCTTCAGCTGTAAAGTTTGTTTTTCTTCAAACTTCAGCAGTTTTCTAGTTGTCCTTCTGAGGTAGTGACATCAATTTGTGACATCACGCAATTTGATGTCACAAGGAGTGATGCACCCTATGTGGAGCTATAATGCATCACTTTTGAATTTACGGTCATAGCTATTGCAGCAGTTGGAGAGAAAGCACAAGTATTGTACTAAACGCACTAACAAGCAAATAGTCAATTTTCTAATTGATTTTCAGATTTGTCCAGAGAGAACTAATTAAAAATGAGTCAGAGCAATAAGATAAGTAAGCCTTCTGATTTCAAAGACAAGGAAATGCAAGAGACCATAGCGATTCAGACGCAGCAGCTCAATGATTTTGTAGAAAAAGTAAGCATGATGTCCATCGAGCGAATGTCTCTGCTGAAAGTGAATGAGGAGCTGAACATTCAAGTTCTAAATATGAAAAAAGTTGCGCTTGAAGTAGACGCTCTGGTTCGGGAGAAAGAAGACGAATTAAAGAAACAGTTGGATGCAAACAAAACTTTGAAGAAAAATATCACTGCTCTGGAGAAGAAAAAGATCGCCTTGGAAAACGGAAAGATCGCCTTGGAGAATGAAAAGATCGCCTTGGAGGAGAAAAATACTCGTTTGGAGAAGGAGAAGGCCGCTGTGGAGGAGAGAAACACAGCCTTAGAGATAGAAAAGACCGCCTTGGAGAGAAGAAAGAACGCGTTAGAGGCTGAAAAGAACGCCTTGGAGAAGAGGACCTACACGCAGCAGAAAGAAAATTTTGCACTGCGACAGAAAAACACGATCTTGGAGAACCAAAAGACCGCTTTAAAGGAGAAAAACACTATGCTGGAGAACCAAAAGACCGCTTTAAAGGAGAAAAACACTACGCTGGAAACACAAAACACTGACTTGGAGAAAAAGAACACTGCTCTGGAGAAGAAAAAGACCACTCTGGAGAAAAAAAATATTGCACTGGGTCAGAAAAATGCAGCCTTAGAAATTGAAAAGGCTGCCTTGGAGAAGGAAAAGACTGACTTGGAGGACAAAAACACAGCCCTGGAAACACAAAACACAACCTTGAAAAAGAAGACGACCGTTTTGGAGAAGAAAAAGACTGCTCTGGAGCAAAGATGTATCACACTGGGGCAGACAAACGCAGGCTTGGAGACTGAAAACACTGCCTTGGAAGAGAGAAAAATAAACTTGGAACACGAAAAAACTGCCTTGGAGGAGAGGATCACAATCTTTGACCACATAAATACCATCTTGAAAGAGGAAAACACCGCCCTCAAGCAGGAAAAGACTGCCCTGAATGAGGAAAACACCACTCTGAAGGTGAGAAGCGCAGCCCTGGAGCAGAAAAGTGCAGTCTTGGAGAGGAAAACCACTGCCTTGGAGCAAATTAACACCATTCTCAAGCAGGAAAACACCGGCCGGGGACAGAAAATCACTGCTTTGGAGGAGGGAAATAGCTCGCTGGAGAAGGAAAACACCACCCTGAAGCAGAGAAGCACCACTGAAAAGCAGAAAAGAACCATCTTGGAGAGGAAAACCACTGCCTTGGAACAAATAAGAGCCATCCTCAAGCAGGAAATCACCACCCGGGGACAGAAAATCACTGCTTTGGAGGAGGGAAAAAGCTCGCTGGAGAAGGAAAACACCAGCCTGAGGCAGAAAATCGCTGCCTTAATGAAAATAAGCACCGACCTGAAGTTGAAAAGCGAGACCCTGGAGAAGACAACCACTGCCTTAAAGGATAAAAACACTGTCTTTGAACAGGAAAACACCGCCCTGAAACTGAAAAGTATCGGAAGTGTCTTGGAAGGGGAAAAGCTGACCAAAAAAATGAGGGAAGGAGTGGAACAGCAGAACCAGCAGCCGCCTAAAGAGGAAACCCACGGAGAAAGCCAGTCGGATTCAGACCAGCCATCAGTAATCGCACGTGTGGTCGGAGGTATCCTCAATACATACCAGAAAATGTCCGAAAATGGTACTCTGAGATACTGGATCGAATTGTGATATAAAAGGGTCATGATAACTCAAAACTTCATACTTGATTATTTGGGGCAGAAAAGCTTAACAACAAAAGCACTGCGGTGTCAAGGGAGCTTGACACTTAGGGGCTGATGGCGGAAGATGTTGGAGGGAGAGCTTGCGGCCCGCAGGACTGCGGTGCCATGGGAACTTGAGGCCTCAAGTTCCCAGACCATCAGACTCTAATCCCATTTGTCGCCAGGTCATCAGACAGTCTTCGGCTGACCTCCGGGGCTTCGTATGGAGCCCCGTTGGTCTCCGGCTGACCTCCAGGTCTTTGTGCCGAGTCTTTTTCCACGAATATTGCATGTTCTCCCCATGCTTGTGTGGGTTCTCTCCGGGTACTCCGGCTTCCTCCCAAAGTCCAAAAGCATGATTGTTAGGTTAATTGATTTCTCTAAACCCATCCTTAGGTGTGAATCTGTGCATGCACGGTTGTTTTTCACCTGTCTGTCTCTGTGTTGCTGGCAACCTGTCCAGGGTGAACTCCGCCTCTCGCTGGAGCAAGATACCTCCCAGATCTTCCATTTTTGGTCTGAAGGTTTCCTAAATAAAACTGTTAGCATTCGTAACGGGAGCTGAACTCCAGTATTACACCAAGCCCTATAGCTAATGCAAAATATTAACAACATTGACCTAGTACTGAAAAGTTATGTCCCGCGCCTTCACATGAATAGTCCATCATTATGAACAAAAATATGCAGCACTGCTGAGGCATCGTCTGCTGTTCTGGTTTAGCCAAGTAGGATTGACGACCTCTCCAAGACGGCCACCGTGTTTCCTGCCTCCAAGCAGTCAATGCAGAGCCTATTCTTCTATTATGTCTGTGGGTTGAGCGGTTAAAGCTGCTTCTCAGCCTACATTTCCCAGAATGCAGTGTGGTTCTGGATCAGAGTTCAGTAAATATTCTTTAATACAGTGGACCAACCCTGGTCCTCAGGAACCGCTGTCCTGCATGTTTCTGATGAGTCTGGACTCCAACACAACTGATTCAGATGACTGCATTTCCTTCTTTGCATTCCTGAAGTTGTTGAAGTAGCTGGTTAATCACCAGCTACTTCAAAGTGGAAGAAATGTTTACTGCCATTTGAGATCAACTTAAGTTGTTTCCAGATGTGGTAGTCTGGTAGAGTTGGTTCAGTTGAGAACCAAAATAACATGTTACATTTTCATGTGATACCTCCTCACATGTCGTGGCGCTGCACCAAGAACCACTGATGTTCACATATGTAATCGAACCACACCAGAGTTCGCTACAACCGAACAGACGCAGAGGTTTTTAGGTGTACACCTTCCCAAGCAAACTGGAAAGTCATCAAAAAAACTTGATGACTGACTAAACCAGACATTGGCTTCTCCAAGCTCCCAGGGCCACATTTAGATGGAGAAAATATAAATGACTGTTAATAACCTGATCATTTTACATTGATTATGTCCCCTCTACTATGAAAAGTTTTGTATTTGACATGACATGTTTAATCCAGGTGTGCAGCAGCAGGGAGACGCCTAAAATATGCAGGACGGTGGGCCCTGAGGTCCAGGGTGGGGGACTACTGCATAAAATATATTGAATATTTTCTCAGATATCATCTATTGATATTTATCAAGTGTATATCACAATATATATTGTTAGCTCTAAATTATGGTCAACATAATCAAGGCAAAAACTGCTGACTCAAACAGAAAATTATTGTAAAATTGAGTGGAAAGAAAAAAATGCAGTAGAAACAAGGATAAGATTGTGAGTTTTGGACAGGTTCATAAGGTGAAGACCCCACACAAAGACAACTCTTTGCGTTCCTAAATAAATGTGTTAACATTTATTTAGGAACAGAAACGTTATTTCTGTTTCAGCCACTCCTGAAATAGAAATATCATCTAACTTGAGATTAAAGTAATGTTTGCATTTCAAGAAGAGGATGAAATGCAAACCAACAACCCAGAAGATCATTTTTAAGGTGACTCAGTATAATTCCTTATAATAAAAAACAAATTAGAATCGATCTATGGGATATGCAAAACATTATTATATTTTTTGCACAAAATAATTAAATAATGAGACTGAAGTTCTGCTCAGTTCTGTCTGTTTTCAGCTATTTCAGTGCTTCTGTCACTTTAAATCCAAATAAGCTGCTGCTGGCCACACCCCCCAACTCATCATTTAAACTCACAAGTGAAAATGGCTGCAAAGAGATGCGAAATTATTCAACCGTAGATCTTTGAAAAGCAGAAGTAGAGCCTCCTGCACAACCAACAAGAACACATTTTTGTTGGTTTCTGGATGGTGAGTCAACAACAAAACACCTTCTGTCTTTTCCAGCAGCCACTCTGCAGCACATACAGCAGTAAAACCAGCTGACCAAATATGCTGGACCTCTGCCTGGGTTGCTAGGTAACAAACTAGGTTCAGCTGGGGTTGCTAGGTAATGGTGCAGTGAAATGTGGAATGTGAACCAACCATCAGGAGGTTTTTGAAATTGTCCAGACACCCAAAAAAAAATATTTCCCCAAAATGTTGCTTTATGTGTGATGCCCGAGAGGCTTAATCTCTTCCTTATACAAATAACCTGCAGGATTGTGGACAGAGGCGCAACAAACTGATAAATGGGATACAATAATTGATTTTAAAAACAACTAGACACACTGGACTGTGACGGCCCTGCTGTCACAGTCCTGTGTGTCATGTGATTTACTATCAATTAAGGTCCTCAATGTGGGAGGTGCTTCCATCAGACACCTGGATGGTATACAAGGAGCGCCGTTCCACTCATGTTGGTGACTGTCAGAAGCCACCACGCGCAGACGACCCGGTGATCCAGGCCAGGATGAGACCAGACTGAAGGGGCCCGGACTGATCACCCCTTGGGCCGCCTATTGATGTCTTCTAGACAACTTCATTCTTTTAAAAATAAACGCCTTTTATGGGCTTAACATTGAGTGGTTGCCATGTCCCCCTAATTTTGTTGCGGCTTTCCAAGCCAGGCCGTAACAGAGACATTGCTGAGGAAGGATCAATATACAAGTCTATAAAAAAAGTCTTAACTGGCCCACGACGGGGGGAAAAAAGAAGGGGCGCGGTCCTCTGCTGCCCACACGTCCAGCCCGGTCCAAACAATCCTCCAGTCCACACGAACCTCAGCGAGCGCCAGCCCAACGGCTCCGTTCAGGGGAACACGGTTCTTACTACTTCTATACGTCCAGCTTGGTCCGACCGGTTCTCCGGTTCTCAGCGGTAACCCAGCAGTTCCACTTCCTTAGCCGGCCGCCCGCTCCTCTGCCGCGACCAGATTAGCAGTCCTCCTCAGGGCCGGTCCCTCCTGTAGCCAACGCCTGAAGCCAGTCCGAGCCGTCTGCCGCTCCAGTTTATGCTCAATCCACCTTTTTCAATTTTGATGTGTTATTTGTTTTCTGCCTTCCTCCTTCTTTTTCTCCGTCAAACGCCAACCCGCCGCTCAACTCACTGACCCACCAACCCCTTTTTACTCCTCCTGATCTGTAAACAACTTAATGAAGATGCGGATCAGCTGTGTTGCTGCAGTGGGGCGCATGCGCCACGTGACCAACAACCACAACATGCAAAAACAAAACAGTTAACCCGAAATAAACTAAGAAAATAACTTCAAAATGTACAATCTAACAATATCAAAATCTAACTCAAAAGGAAAAAACAAGGTCACCTTGCCACATGTGGGTGGAGCTTCTCTGTTTAGCGAACCGCATTCAGTCTGCTGCTGCGAGAAACTGATGGATTCATTGTTATTATGAGAGAAAAGGTCAACTCCAGTGTTTTATTTATACATTTTATACCTTAAATGAGGGCTTTGGGTCAGGGTTCCCACTGAATGTCATGAAACGGTTTAAAAACTGACCACTTTTGACACATTCTGCAAGAATAACAAGATAATATTTACAAATATATTAAAAGTAATATACTAGCTGCTGGTTTTGTGAGTCAACTTTTACCATTTTGGGCAACTTTCCATTCTGATGATTAATATTTTTTGAAGGGCAATTTTGTTTACAGAGACTTCACGATCCATTTTACTTATGGTTTCAATTTTGTTTTTGGTTGTGTGTTTTATTTTGGATATTTAAAATATCTTCCAGTTCTACTGTAGAGATTCTGTGTGAAATTGAGAGGGCAAATGTCAAGCTTTGACATTTCAGCATTTAAGTGCACTGAATAGCACTAGTACGTACGCATTTATAGTCATGAAAATCAGGCTACCAGAACGAACCATAATAACAATTAAAGCCACAAGCGGCGTCAGGCATTACTTAAACATGCTCTCTAAACAGCAAGATTATCATTTATCACAATAATTCATTAGGTAATTTATCATACTGCAATATTTGTTATTTAAAACTGCTATAAAACTAGTCACAAAACAACATAATGACAAGTTATGGAATAACTTGATGAGTAAAAGACAGTTTGTTGCTGAACGTCATTCCCTCTGTCACAAGAAGAACATGTACTAAATTGAAAATTTTAGTTTTCACAAAACTCAAATTTAATGTCATTAAATTTAATGAGCATTAAATATCTTTGTACTCAGGATCAGTGTTTGCTTTAACAATGAATCAAATGTTGTCAGAAAGAGTTTCTGCTTCATTTTGCTCTCGAAATTATTAGGTCCAAGCAGCTAAGCGCTGCGAAGGCCTATTGCTTTTGTATTGTTTCAGCTTCTGTGGTGGCTGGCGTCGGGCGGCGGTTGCTAGTACCCCGAGGTGACCAATAGGCCGGAGCGGCGCTTGGCTGCGAGGGCCGCCTGACGCCGCTTGTGGCTTTAATTGTTATTATGGTTCGTTCTGGTAGCCTGATTTTTATGACTATAAATGCGTACGTACTAGTGCTATTCAGTGCACTTAAAAGCTGAAATGTCAAAGCTTGACCTAAAGGAGCTCTCGCTGCTTTGCGGGGGGGATTTATCGTTGAGTAAAACATGCCACCTTACAAACCAGCAGTTCAGCAGTAAAACAATGCTATATAAACACTTCTAAATGCCTGGTGTTTTCCAGTTGAACCCAAAAGTTTGACAAGTTGACCTGCCAATGTGTGTTCTTGGAAGGA